GGGGCCTGAGCTCCGGCCCACCACTCGGGTCTCCCAAACTCAGGCCTCACCCAGGCCCCTTCTCAGGACCCAGCACTTGTGGGGTCTGCAGGGACAGCTCTTCCAACTGCTATCGCCATTTCTAGAGACAGTCACTCCTACCCCCAAGGCCCCCCAACTGGATGGGCCCCATCTGGCTAAAGCGTGGCCCCGGTCCCTCCTGACAGTAGGGCCCCTGTGGTTTTCTGGCTGGGACAGAGCCATAGAGACGGCCGTCCACCATGTGTGGGCCAGAGGAGCTCCCATAGGCAGGAGCCCCACGCTCAGCCCACCAGGCTCACGCTCACATGGGGACAACACCTGGGTGGGCCGTGGGGCACGGGGATGACCCAGGGACTCTGGAAACTCTTCTAGTGCCGCTCCAGGGGATCAAAACTCAGACAATCATGGCAAAGGAAACTGCTAGGCCCCAGGGCCCCCAGGGCCTCCAGAAGCATTGGACAGGGAAGGGCCAAAGCCGGCCATGGCAGCACACTCTGAGGCGGGGTAGCAGACACCTGGCTTGGGACAGCTTCGCAGGCAGGAGCAGAGGCTCAGGTCCTGGCCGCCGTGGGGCACCTGAGGCTCCCATGGGCCCTGTCTCTTGGCACTGCCTGGAGACACTGCGTCGTGAGGACAGAATGAACGTCCTGTGGCCCTGGGCGCACTCCGGACCCACACACCCTCCGCTGGTATCTACAGCCACCTCCCACTCTGCAGACGCCCACAGGCCTTAGAGGGGAGCACAGCCAGCCAGTGAGAGCCCCAGCGCAAACAGAGAAGCCTGATCCCGGCAGCCACATCCTGCTGGGGGAGGACTGCCATGGGGGTGGGGACAGCTGAGCCCCGGGGAGGAGCTGGAAGGCAGGCGGAGCCCCTCAGCCACAGGAAACCTGTCGGATGGCGGCGGGGCGGGGGGGCTGGCGGGGGGACCGGGGTCTCAGTTTCCTTTCTCCCTGGCAGGGCCACAGTGCTGGTGTAAGAGCCCCACTGGCCGGGACTGTGGGCAGTTCCTGAGTTCACAGACCACTCAGCTGAATTAAGGGCCAGAGTCCTCTTTGCCATCAAGATTTCCACATCCTTCCTGAGAAAAGGCCCCTTCTGTGAGGAGGAAGGCCGAGGGGGCGTCTTATGTCCCTCCTGCTGTCCCCCTTGCCCTTTCCCCACCACTGGATTCCTATGGAGCCCCACCTGGCGGTGGCTCCCACATAAACCTTTGTGTGAGAGAGAGTGGGACTCATCCTGAGGCCTGTCAAAGTGAACAGCCCCCAATGAGCCTTTTCCTGCCACTTCACCCACCTGGCCCGAGGTCTCAGCAGATGTCCCGGCAGGTCTGCGGAGGAGACACCCACGCTCCCACACCTGAGCACCCCAGCAGGTATTTCCTGGGGCATCCCTGGCACTGGCCCTTGGACTCAAGCCGTGAAGGCCACCTATTCCATCCGATTCCGGGAGGAAGGTGCTGGCAAGATGATCCACGTGGGGAGGCCCCGGGGCCCCCCACGCTCAGGCTCTCAGGGCAGGGAGGGGCGGAAACAACCCAGGTGCCCTTCAGCAGATGGATGAAGAAAGCGTCTGGCGTGAGACGCATGGAAAGGGTATTCGGCTGGGAAGAGGTGTGAAGTCTCGCCACGCGCCAGGAGGCCTGGGAAACGATGCAGGGCAGACAGCAAGCACGGCCGACCGCGTGGCAGGAGTCCACTCGCTAAACGGCCACAGAAACAAAGCAACAGAAAGGAGAACAGCGGCTGCCAGGGAGGGCCCTGTTTCCTTCTGGGGCGCTAAGAATCTTCTAACATTGCACTGACTGCTGAGCGAACCCTAAGCTGCCAGAGGCCAGGCGGGAGCCCGCCTGCACTGCACGGCCATGGGCTGAGTGGCGGCTACTTCAGTGGAAGGAGAAGCGTCCCAGGCAAAGCTAGGGAAGGAAGAGAGGAAAGATAGGAGGAAGACAGCCTCAGCCTCGCCCTGAAGGACTCAGAAAACACGAGGGAATGCAGCCTGGCAGGTAGAAGAGCCAGGCCTGAGGAAGATGAGAGGGAACCCAGCCCGGCAGGTGGAAGAGCCAGGCCTGAGGAAGATGAGAGGGAACCCAGCCTGGCAGGCGGGGGAGCCGGGCCTGAGGAAGATGAGAGGGAACCCAGCCTGGCAGGCGGGGGAGCCGGGCCCCTGAGGAGCAGGAGGCAGAACGAGGTACCCAGGTGGGTGCAGCCCTTGGCCTAGTTTCCAGCGATGACCACCCCAGTGGCCAGAGAGCCAGCAACCAGGAGCAGTGCCCGCTGCCCCCACAGGAAGTTCCTGTCTGTACCCACCCAGGGGCTGGTGCTGAGCAGCTTCTCGGCTGAAGGAAGTAGCTGAGGGCGATGGGTGTTGTGGGGGCGTGACAGCCTTGCAAAGGGAGGGGGGACCGCACACCAGTCCTCCCAGCAGGCACTGGGGACTGCTGATGGGGTGTCGCTGCCACACTGGCCGCTGCATAAGCTGAGGAGCTGGACAGCCCGTTTCAGGGATCTGCCTGGCCGGCCCTCAGCCAGCCCACGGCTGCCCTGCGCAGGTGGAGGCTGCTCACACAGGCCTTCCAGGCGGGGTCGTGATCACATGTGTCCTGGCCACAGGCTGCTGGTTCTAGAGATGGCTTATTGCTCAGACTGTCCCCTAAGTGGTAACAGTCCCTGCTGGGCCCCCAGGGGACCTCCTGCCCAAGGCTAGAGCAGGGTGCTTGCGGTACTCCTACCGCAAGAAATCTACCCTGGAGGAGGAAGCTGTTCTGGCTGGGAGCTTACAGAGGGGGCCCTGAGAGTTGCAACTGTCTGTGCTCGTCTGCGTGCATGCCTGAGGAACACCAGCAAGAAACAGAAAGGTAGGGCCAGAGGATGCGGCCAGAAGACAAAGCTGCCAGGGAAAGTCAGGGGTAGAAGCCCTCGAAAGGCACAGGCTGTGTGACACGCTCCCGCAGGACCCACAGTGAGACTAGGATGGCTGTCAGATTCTACCGAGAAGCATGTGGGAGAGGAGGAGTTTATAGGAAAGATGCTCCGCAATTCCTTGCAGTTCTGGATTCTGTGTGATGAAAACCACATTTTAGGAAAGCACGCCTTTGGAAAACAAGGGCAAATACCTATTTGTGCTGACCAGGAAAGTGGAAATGCTGTGGTCACCACAAGGTGAAGGTGTTGACACCCAAAGCCCATGGGAGGCTTTTAAAAGCAGGCCCACGTCAAGCCTCGCAGTCTTTGGTAACAGATGAGAAGGTGCAGAACACACGTGAAATACCTGCTACTACCTGCTCACAAGAAGTCCCCCTGGGCGCGGTGGCTCACGCCTGTAATCCCAGCACTTTGGGAGTCCACGGCCGGGGGATCACGAGGTCTGGAGTGTGAGACCAGCTTGGTCAAGCCTCATCTCTAATAAAAATACAAAATAAGCCAGGCATGGTGGGGGGCACCTCAGCTTCTCAGGAGGCTGAGGCAGGAAAGCCGCTTGAAGCCAGGAGGTGGAGTTTGCAGTGAGCCCAGGTAGCGCCACTGCACCAGCCTGGGTGAAAAGAGCAACATTCCGTCTCCAAAAAAAAAAAAAACAGTCCTCTTCAGAGGCTGCCACACAAAAATGTCACAGCAAAGAGAGATGGAGGAGCGGGAGCAGAGCCTTTAGCAGCCTCACAGGAGAAGTCGGTAGAGCTATCCCAGCGTGGGCAGGGACCGGTGCCACCTGACACAGGTAACCAAGCAGCTCTGCATCCCGACACTGGCCCTGCCACCTCCGTGGCTGCCCAGCACACAGCCACCAGCTCCCTCTGTAGTAGGAGCCTCTGAAGTCAGCTGTCTTTGCTTGCAAAATGTTCTAGAGACTCCTACCAGCCTGGGTGCACCTCCCTAGCCTCCACCACCTCAGCAGCTTGGATGTCTGGGGAAGCCCTCCTGCTCGCTCTCTACCCCCGCCACTGCTCATTTTGCTCAAGAGCTGTATTATCCAGCACTTGGGAGAGGTTGTGGAGCAGACCTCCGATCTCGGCTTCCTCCCAAAGGGGTTGGCAGCTCCACAATGCTTGAGCTCAGGTCCCCGCCGGGAGGAAAGCCACGTCCTCGAGTTTCTGTTCCCGAAACACCCTGCAGGAAGCAGCTTTGAGCCCTGGTGCCGGTGGAAACCCCAGCAAGGGGGTCAGTGTCTGCTCCCCTGCGGACCGGGCGGCCTGGCTAGTCAGTGACTGCTGTGACCCAAGTTCTCCTTCAAAGAAAACGTAACATCAGACTCCAAACAACCCCTCTAAACTTCAGGGAACTCCTTTCCTCTGTAGTCAAAACGGGCAAACAGCGGGTCCGGACAAGAGTCGATAGCAAAAGCCACAAGTCATTTATTCACAACTGCCCATTCCAGCCCCACAGGAGCAACGCCGCCACCACCAGCGGAGCGGCGGCACCTGCGGCCCTCTGAGTACCCGAGCGCCCGCCGCAGCCCCCGGGGACCCCGGGGACCCCGAGCTTGGGCAGGGCCGCAGGTCGGCCCGGGAGCCGCAGGAGCAGCGGACCGGGCGCCCGGGCGGAGGACGAACGCGCCCCGAGGACAGCGGCGGCGGCGCGCAGGGGAGCCCGGACCCCGCGCGCCCAGTCCGGGGCTGCACCGGGGCGGCCGCCGGCCCAGCGATCCCCCCCGCGGCGGGGCGCGGCCCCCTCCCCGCGGCCCCCGGCGGGCGCGCTCACGTGTGACCGCAGCTGCCGATGGCCACGGGCCGGTGATAGACCTCCAGGCAGATGGGGCAGGTGTACTGCGCCTCCAGGCCGCTGTCGCCGCCCGCGGGCCCGGCCGGCGGCTGCCGCTGCTGAGCCGAGGCCACCAGGCTGCGGAACATCGCCATCCCGGGGCCAGGCCCGCGCCGCCCGCTGCCCGCTGTCCAGGCCCGGCCCGGCCCGGCCAGCGCGTCACGGCCGCGACTGCGCCGCGCTGACGTCATCGGAGGGCGCCGCCCCCGGCCGTGCCTGGCGGCCGTGACGGCGCTGCGCTGGCGTCATCAGGCCGCGCCCTCGCGCTGCAGTCGCCGCAGTCTGCGAGGGGACCCGGCGTGGGCATGTGTCAGGTGGGAGAGGACTACGGGGAGCCGGCGCCCCGGGAGCCGCCCTCGGCTCCGCGGCCTAGGTAAGAACTGGCGGCCGGACCCGCGGAGCCGCCCCACGCCTTCCCGCTGCACTCCTGCCCCGAGGGTCCCGGTCGGGCTTTGCCGTCACTTCCGAGCGCCGCGTGGAGGGCGGACCTCCCTCCGCAGCACTCGGGGAGTGACTGTCCGGCAGTGACGAGCACCTAGGAAGGGGGCTTATTCCACTGGCTCGCACCTCTCATCATCCTAGCAGCCACTGGGGACGTCTCTGCCGCTGACAGTGCCACCCTTATGCGTATGGAACTGGTTCAGTGAAGCTGTCTTTCCTCTCTGTGCCAGCCTTGGGAGATCGAATAGCGGTCTTTATGTGCGCCCTGAGCCTTGTTTTTTAGGCGAAACATCCCCCTAAGAGCCTTTTTAAGTTTGGACAAAACACAAGCCTTGGTTTGTGTGTGTCACAAGATGCTTTACTCTGACCCAACTCAGGTTCAGGAACAGGAGTTCCCCAAATATCTGTGTTCCTCCCTTCTCCCTCCCTCACATCTCCACAGCCGCGAACAGAAGTGTGTGAAGTGCAGGGAAGCCCAGCCGGTGGTGGTGATACGAGCCGGAGATGCCTTCTGCAGGTGAGGCCTGGAGGTGCCGAGACCCTGGCAGACATAGCCTCGCTAGGCAGACAGGACAGTCCCCGCTTCTGAGGCTTTGTTTCTTCTTTATATAATCGTTTACTTATTTTCTTCCTGCTTTTGATGTTGTCCCCGGTGCCCCTGGTGTGGAAGTGGAGGCGAAAGCGTTGGTTTTCTGCTTGGCAAGCAATTTACCATGAGCTAGCCACAGATCAGCTGGCGAGGTTTCTAATGGAGCTGATGAGGACAGTTGGAAGTGGGGCCGTGGTGTCTAGATTGGGATTAGGTGGAGGAGGAATGGGTATTTGGGGGCAGCTGGAACACATCTAGGGGCGGATTAGAGCATTCTGGGAACTTGGCAGATCCCCTGGGTGAAAGTTTATCTCTTGTGAGATGCTTGTTTTCTCGGGGACTGGCTAGAGGCTTGGAAGGAGACCTCCAGCCTTCCCCAGGTCTGAGGGGGAGGTGAGGCTTTGCACAGGAGCAGAGGCTAATTCCCAGAGGCGCCGGGGTGTGAGGATGTTCGTTTTATCTGTAACTCTTTTATGGCCCTTGCCATGTTTTTCTTGGCTGGTAACCATTGTATTGTTTGATTGTTTCCACGGGAATCACAGCTCCCCGGAGGCAGGCTCAGGCCTCTCTCATTTCAGCTCTTTTAATTCTCAGTGGTGTTAGGTAATTTTTTTTTTTTTTTTTTTTTTTTGACAGAGTCTCTCTGTCGCTCAAGGCTGGAGTGCTGTTGCGTGATCCTGGCTCACTGCAGCCTCTGCAAGGTTCAAGTGACTCTTCAGCCTCAGCCTCCCAAGTAGCTGGGGTTACAGGCACCCACCACCATGGCTGGCTAATTTTTGTATTTTCAGTAGAGACGGGATTTCATCATGTTGGCCATGCTGGTTTTGAGCTCCTGCCCTCAAGTGATCTGCCTGCCCTGGCCTCCCAAAGTGCTGGGATTATAGGCGTGAGCCACCAGACTCGCCCAACACGTGCCTTTTTTGCATCATATGTTTGCAGAATGAGTGATGACATTTATTTATTTTGAAACGGAGTCTCACTGTCACCCAGGATCAAGTGCAGGGGCGTGAACCTGGCTTACTGCAACCTTGGCCTCCGGGTTCAAGCGGTTCTGCCTCAGCCTCCCAAGTAACTGGGGCAACAGGTGAGCGCCACTGCTCCCAGCTAATTTTTTATGTATATATATATATATATATATATAT